CGATTTGTTTACTAACGTTAGCCTATAGTGATGCAGCCAGAGCAGCCAGCTAACGCTACATTAGCTCGGACCTGCCGCTGTTTGCTTCGTAACGTTGGATTTAGATTTTTTTGCCATTTACCGATACTCAGGTACATAGCTTCTCCACCTCTCAGTCGCTGTAAATAACGTGACCCACATAATATACAACACAGAGGAAGAGCCATCCACTAACACTAGTTACAGTAAAGTTACTTACTGCTGTTAAACTGTTATAAAGTGTGACACAATGTCGTTATAATATTCAGTCCAGCTCACTAACCGTTTCATTATCATCTAATACTTTTAGCTGTGCTGACATTGCTGAGCCTCCAGTGAAAGATACATGGATAGTAAAGTTACTTAGTCACTGTACCATTATCATGTAACGAGCATGGAGTAGTTCAACATCAAGCTGATAAAAACATTACTGTAATGTTGCAGTGGGAGTTTACCTGAGTTTCCACCATGTTGTGTGAAGCAGTCTCCCTGCCTGTCTATAGCCACTGTCACTCTACCTTTTTTCAGGAGTACTGTCCCAATATGCCGGTGTCTCGCTGCGCTGAATGAAAGGTACAGCGCCAGTGTTGATCTGCTTGTGAGACGGGAACATTGAAGTAACAGAGCCTGAACATGCCTGTGTGAAAAACCACAGTTTGCATGCTGGTGTTTCTTCGTTTATTGCAGGATTTCTGTATGAAAGCGGTTGTGTTTCAGATTATGCTCGCTCATGAGTTCAAGCGAGCACGCATGCGAGCACACGCCTGGTTGTAATCTTAAAACCGCACTGCTAGTGGCCGCTGGAAACTCCATAATGCCCCTTTAAATACAGACTAAAATGCTGACACTTCCCACCATGCACCAAGACAGATCTCAGTCAGTCTGTGATGCCACCTTAGGTCACTGGGGAACTTAACTGTTTATCTTTACAGAGACTATTATTAAAATGTTTCCATCAAAACTGTGCTTAAATATTTCAGTTTGCCCCCCTTCAGGGGATGAGCCAAAATTCCCCCTATGCTCTATAGCAGATGAACCCACTTCCAGATTCCATTTCGAAAAAAAATTATGGAGCTGGCATGTCAAAAGGATTTTCCCCTCTCATCACCTCAGAGTAGAGAATACATGCAGCTGTTTCTCAAACCACAGCCTGGGTTCCATATCAATAAATGGGGAACAGTCAATGCATAATACGTTCTGGTAGCATAGCAGTGGTGTGCACTAAAGAAAAGGAAGAAAAAAGTGCTCAGAAGGGTCACAATGCCATGCAGGGGCGAACCATCATATGGACCACAGTAATTTTGGATGTCTAAAGCATATTCATACAGAAAGAAAGACAAGTCTTTATTTTAAAATGATCCCAAGACACATCGTGTGCATAGGTGGAACAGAACAGTACCAAATGAGTAAATGTATGTAAGGCAACACAAACATCCTTCTACCCAGCTACATGCTCCAGGCAGGGTATATATACCACCAGCGTGTTCCTGGTCTAGCTGTCCCCCAGTTTGACATGTCAAGAATACGACAGCAGATGTATCCTGATCAGATGCCCAGACCACCTCAACCACGAAACAGCTGTGCTTCTCCTGAGGGCTCTTTCGCTCAGGAAAGACCCAGACACCCAGCAAAAGACACCTACCATTCCTACCCATGATTTAATTTTTTCAGTTAATGACAATAAGTGAGGGATGAAACTTAAACTAATAGAAGCTTTATTCTCAGGTTCAGCTCCATCTATACAAAGACAGCGCAGTACAACGCTCGCTTCCAACACTGAAACACTAAAGCTATGACAACCGGTCTGTCAATCTCATGCTCCATCTTACCCTCTGTTATGAACAAGATACACTTAAACAATTTCACTTGGGACCACCACTTGCTCCCACCAAAGGGGTTGGCTGGAAACTGAGAGGTCAAGGCCCGATGAAGCAAACAGCATTAAGCTGCGTTCACACCGAAAGAGAATTTAATATTCACCTCGCTTTACTCGCGCAAGTTTGACCGCTGGGCATTTTGAGTGTTCACACACACGCGTTTTACTACAGCTATATGAACCCATAGTAAATCCTTGGCTGCGATTTAATTGCAATAAACGGATCATACTGATGCCGAAAAAACTACAATATGATAGCGTTTTGTTAGACATATGAATTCATACTTTGTCAGATCTGTCAGCAAGACAGCAGGACGACAACTTTCAAAATACGTGTTTTCTGAATGGAGTTCGGATCGATCAGGGCTATGCTATGCTAACCTGTTCACAGTAAAGTACAATGACAGCTGGAATAAAGTTACAGACACACATGTTCTAAATTCACCAGGTAGTTCAACTTCCTCGCTTTTTCTCCAAGTAATGTCTAGCTTTGTCCGGTTTTTATATAAAAATGAAGTAGTAGTCCAGCAGAACTCTGGTGCCATCCGACGCCAACAACAACAGTGGAACCGGATGTGCACGGAAGCTAGCTGCCGACAAGCGCGAGTGAAGATAAATCAAGTTGTAATTCCAAAAACTAAAGTAAAAAGCTAATTTAATAAAACCAATTAACTCTGACCTCCTCCCGCTGGTAAACGGCGTAGTTGTCAGAGCAGAATCCAGACTACTACGGGTGTTTATTTGTCCGAAAGCTGCAGCGCTACTCCCCGTCCACTTTCCCATTCTTTAGCAGCTCCCCGTCAGCCAGTGGATTGTCATTACACCACTCACCCGGTCCTCTCCAAACAGCGCTCCGAAGCCGCCGGTGACATTTGGACAATCTCACCGCTGATAGGATTTCGCAACATCGCGTCAAGTGAATTTCTCGCCCAAGTTGAAAAATTTGAACGCATGAACCAGCAAATTACGCGACAAATGACTCATTCGCGCTGCCTGGAGCGAATTTGCAGGAATTCGCGTCTTTGCATTGACTGTATGCAATCAAGCCGCCCAAAACGCTCGATTCGCTTTCGGAGGGAACGCACTTTTAGAAGGGATGGGATGAATTCACCAAAGTGGACAGTCTCCACTTTTGTCCTGCCCTTAGGATCCCATTCAGAAAACAACCATCAGAGGCTTTCTGGAACCTAATGTTCATTCAAATAATGATAGCATCGCAGTGCTAATCTGGGGTTTCATTAGTATCCACTCTGGATAGCTGTGGAAAAGCTTTCCAGCTCCTGCCCAGGAGTTTGGTTCTAGAGCTGGCATTGTGCATAGAAGAGAACCTCAGTAAATTTAATTGATACTACCACACCTCGCATACTAGCAACAGCTTCTTCCGACCAAGAAGGTAATATTCCAAAGCCATTCCATAGCCAAGTGTGAGCTAACCAAGGCCCTGTCCTTGGTCTCCTTAAAATTACTTTAAAAGCTTTCTGTGTATATATAATATATAAATGTTTGTTGTTGTTATATGTATATGTTATAAATTTATTTTTTTCTTATTTCTAACTGTACTTAGTACTTGAATAGAACAGTAAAATGACTGACAAATACATCCCCATGACATACACTCTCATACATGAACTCACCAGCACAATGTCAGGTACTTTGACATGCAACCAAAACTAGATTAAACCTCACAGTAGATCTGCACATAGCATAAAAGGAAAGAATCATTCAGAAAAAAAGGGATATCGGGGATACTGTTGCACATCACTTTACCAAACACAGGGATAAAAAAAAAAAAGGCAATACACAAAATCATTGTGAGTTACCAAAGCATTGGGGCTCTACAGACCTCTGCACCTCTCCTAAACATTGCCACAAGACAAGAACTGATATCATGCTGTGACGGAATAGGCTAACAGGAAGAACAAGACGATTGGATGACAACTGGAGCTACTTTACATGACAGAAATTATGCTGAGTGAAACAAAAACCATTTCCTCCTAGCTATTAGGATTGTATTAGTGTTACAAAATAAAAAACTTTACTAATACTAATTTTAAAGGTATTCAATGTAAGATTTACATCATGTCACTGAGTAGTACAAATATTTTTTCTTTACTGCTCACCATTTTAAGGTGATCCTATGCCCAAAAGTAATTATTAAATAATGAAATATGTTGCAATATTTAAGTTCTTATCCATTAATATATTTTCTACCGTAGGTATGCTTTTGTAAATACTTCAAACACCTACAACTGACATGCATTTGATGTGGCCCTTGACAGGTATTGACATATACTTCACTTCCCACAATTGGCTATGGAGTAGTTTCAATTGCTCTTATTCTAATAAACACAGGATATAATTATTGTATCATTTGATTCCAGATATTCTGGGGTAATGCTACCTTATGTTACACCTCTGTAGTGGCAATGACTTAATATACCATATTGTTTTCGTTATATTGTGTGCTGTAAATATATGTGCAAAGAGAAGTGTTACCTAACACAGGACACTATCAAGTACAAGCTGTACTTATACAGATTCTAATCTGGTCTTTGTTAAAGCCTTGCTAATGCACATCAGCGATTAGTCAGTTATTTTGATGTGTCATTGTAAAATACAGGTTCAAGTGAAACCAACAGCGATCTTCAGTAATGGTGTGTTTGATTTTCATCCATGTGTTTCTAATGACAGTGCTGTAGAAAACATGATTGGCTATGAATCAGTACTGCAAGTCAAATTATTATATGAATTATACATTTCTCATAATTAGTGTTGGATCATTTTGAAACTGCAGTTGCTTTTCTGTGAGGAGCTGTGTATGTTAATAGGAAGCAAGTTCTGTCTTTGTCTAAATTCATCATCCACCAAAATCTTTCCTGGTTGCTTTTCATTTAACATACAATAAATCTTACATAGTATACCTTAAACATTACATTTTTTGCTACGTCAATTGCAATAACTCAGCACAGGACTCTGCATGTTGTAAACCAGCTCAGCTTGAGTGTTCTGACAGGAAGGACGTGTGAGTTACGCAGCCAGAGCATGTGCAGCAGGAGGCAGGGTGGTGCTGGGTCTGGGTTATAAAAAGGTAGTTAAATACACACACCTAGGGTTCTGTTACCATAGTTAGCACCTGGCCACCGAGAAGCTGGACTGGAAGGACTTTGATCACCTGTAACAATATTGGTGATAAGAAAAAAAAAAAGAATAGACAAAATAAAGGAAGGGGAGGATGGAGGAAAAGGAAAAGAGAAAAGGCATCAGAGGTGACACATGGCAGGAATTAACCACTCCCAGGCAAAACCCTTCAGGTTTGCTAAGATACCTACAGTAGACACACATTTGGACACAGACACAAGCTCACATTAAACCCACACACAGAAATATAGAACAAACAAGGTGCAGGTGAAGAATGGAGCAGTTTATGTCCACTGATGAGCATCACTATATGTGTTGAAACAAAGTAAACTATGTGTGTTTACTGTTTAGTTTATAACAAGAAATATTTTTTTTATTGAAAACACTACATACAATTAGAGGAAAAATATCATTTACATGATTTAAATGATTAATAATATATTGTAATTATTTTGTATTTGATTAACTAAGAACATTAAAATAATAATTATCTTCTACTGCTTTCCATAGAGAGACACACTCACACACACACCAATTTTGTCACTAAAAATGACTGGTGAGAATCAGAGTCGCAGGGTCACACATACAATGTCGCACTGCATACTAGCAGATACACAGTACATGTTAATTTGTGAGTACAGCAAAAGGAGATTTTTTTAAAAACCTACTTATTTTTATTTTGAGCAAAAAATAGGTAGAGCGTAAGAGGAAGTGACCCAGGCAGAGCTGGGAATGGCCTGACCAATATGTCCAGGCCACCAAGCAGGTACTTTTTCACTGCCAAATGCAATTTAAGCAGCCACACACGACCTGACTTGCTGATCTGTCACTATTAATCTTCTCTGTGTCTATTTAAATGTGCCATATACTGTACACCAACATGAAATGTAACAATTCTGCTACTATTAACAAAAGATAATAAATGACTTGAACCACTGAAGTAACTTAACATTTTAACTTCAATGGAATTATAGCAATTTGCATTAAATAGGCAATGACTAATTAATAGTCTTTTTGCTGAAAATTAACAATAATTATTATAACTCAATATATCTAAATGTACATATTCAGCAAAAATCTAAAAATATGATTTAGGCATAAAATTTACTTCCTCTGTTTTAAAAATGTATGTTAATATTTACTTCTTGCTTTGCAGTGTACAGCAGACTCGTCCAATCCAGCCATTTGTCTGATCCTCCCAACCCCTGTATTTTTGTTGTTTTTTTTTTGTACCATGATTGCCAGCATGGGGATGGCAGCACCTGTAGCTCTTCTGCAGAACTCTGACTTGCATATCAATTGACCCTGGCACCCCTACTACGTGGTACTCCCCTGGGTACTGACCATTCATCATGGCAGAACGGAAATGTGTTAACACCAGGATTACACTAAATCTGCCGCAGTCCAACTGCAGCCATCATGGCAACAGTATAATAAGTGTTTTATGAATGGTTAAGGGACAATAAAACACTACTGACCTGTACTAGGCCACAGGTGCTTGTTTCTGTGACAACTGCCTGTATATACACGTCATACATGTGTATATGTTTTATATTTATGGATACTTTTAAGAAGCCAAAAGTACACAAGCACAGGAATAACACACTAATTATATACAAGCTGGAGATCTTCTTTTATATGACAGATCGGTGAGACTAACACGAATAAAAATAATTATGAATTGGGGCATACAGACTTAAAAGTTTTTTGTCTTACCATTGCGCGGTGTCCGTTTTCGCCGATCGCGGAAAGCTGCTCCGGACTGTAGGGCTTCCATTAGGCTATCCATCACACCAGTTTCATCTCCCTCTGTAAGAGAACGGATAATAGAGACAAAGATGTTACAATACTTACAATAACGCAGCAGGATGAAATACATAAGATGACATTCACATGAGTCTGTACACATACACATACACAAACACACACATACACACACACACACACACACACACACTTGTGCATGACTGCTTCAAGGTATAATTCTTCGTATTCTGGTATGGAAGCAATGGATGCCCTCTCTACAGGTGCGTGAATAATCACCTTATATCACACTAACAGAGAGCCATGATTCTAAGTGAGATATAAACAAGCCTTTTATAGAGCGTATGAGTGTTGAGACAGAGGCCTGTCACTCCGGCCTGTCCTTTTTTTTTCAGTAAACAGCTGAGGAGGAGGAAAAATACACTTAGCAACTAATACAGGCAGAGGAGCCTCAGGATGAAAGCATCCACTGATGGCCATTGACAGATATTCTTTCTGTGGCTAACGCAGGGGAGCTAAGTGCTCTTTACAAAGATTTAGTGTGGAGCCGCTCAATACCCGGGCGCTCTATCATTGTTCAGTCAATGACACCGGGACCGGCCTTCGAAAAACATTCCCCCTGCCCACCGTTGCAGCTGTCAGAGGCATCCATGAAACTAGAGAACTGGAGGCAGTCGGCATGACTGAAGAGACAGGTAGGAGACACTCAAAGTGCTATGAAGCCAACAGCATGACACGTTGCGCCCACACTGTGCACATGCAACATATCGCTCAATGGAAACAGGGTTCAAAAATAAGCTTGGGTTCTATATCTGGGTCATCTATCTTTGTGCCCCGATACTAATGAGTCAGAGGGATGCTCTTTTTATCATTCTGGTCTAGAACAGACATTATTTTAAACTAGGATCATTAAAGTGACTTATTGTACAGCTAGAGACTTGGCCATCAATTATTTTGCATACACGAGTGAACTAGCTCTTCCCCAATGTTTACCATTAGGGTCCAGGCATCTTGTTTCTCTACTGTGCTTACAGCTATAGCTGAAGGGAAACATTCGAAAATAAGTGGAGGCAACCGCTACTTTCAGCACACAGCACTTTTGTGGACACTAGGGTGATCAATCTTTTGTTACTCGCATGTGCTCAAAGAGACAAGACAGTCAGGCGAATTGAATTTATGAACAAAACATATTGACAATGAATGCTACACAATTAATTTCAGGAAATGGCGGATATTTTGCCATTACCAGAGAAAGTCAGGGCTGCACATTTTTCTCTTCTCCTCCAGCAATAAACCACCCAACCTGCAATCATTCATGCAAGTAAAAGAAGGCAGTACAACCGAGAATAGAAATATGTCTTGTGCAAATTTTAAAAAAGCAACTCTTCACCCGTACTCACACAAATTTTGCTCTCTGTCTCTTTCCTTCTCTTTCTTCAAGTCCTTCCCAAGGGCTACTTTGAAATCCAAGTATCTGTTCAGGCTGTGCGGTGTGCTTAAAAGCAATCCCGATTAAATCAAGCTTAATTAGACCAGCTTTATCAGAACAAAACCAAAGTCGAGCCAAGTAGTGCTTATCTCAAATTGCAGCACTACACCTCAGATAGCAAGCTCATTGGTTTAAAAGGGGGAGCATAGTTTTTGTATGCTGTGGACCTTAAGAACAATGTGGTGAACAACTTGCAGCTACTATAAGTGTATCAACTCCCAAGATCTTCAGTTACCCCTTCTTCTTATGTAGGCTAGCAAGGACACATTGTGAGTCTGACAGAAGGCAGAAAGTGTTAAGTGGCAGGTAAACATTTATCTACAACCACCTTGGCACAAGAAACTTTCTGACAGCTCCTTCTTCACTGCCTTCTTCATGGAGACCTAGACATCACAGGGGGCACCTGACACTTTGATCAATTTGTCCTACTTCTAGCTTAACTGTAGCGCAATTCATCATTTGTAATGGCCAGGACTTGGAGCTGTAGTAGACTGGGGTTCAGGGGGAGGACTGCAGACACAAAGAACCAAAATGACTAAAATGGGAAACATACTCCCCAGTCAACCTATAGTGCTCAATTAACTATGGCCTATTGGGCCACAGCTTAAACTTGTGCAGGCCTTATGCTCAAGACTCAGACTATACACTTATTAACATACATATGGATTTTTTTGTATATATATTCAACAAATCTGCAAAGACAAAGTAAGTCTTTAGTTGAAAACAATCAAATAAAACAGAATAATATTTGACTACTCTTATTCCAGTAATCCTCAGAGCAAACTTTCTTCATTAGTTATTATAACAATGGCCACTTTAGCATACATTTCTTCCTTGTTCCTGCAATTCACTCTTGTCTTATTTTGAGCTGTTAAACCTAGGGCAAATATTCATCTGCTTCTCATTAGCAGCAGTGGTAGATTGCATGCTGGGGAATTACAGAAAAACTAACCTTTTATGCCCAAAGATCTTTCTCAAGAGGAAAGATCCCCTCTGCTCACAGGAAATTGCTTTCTAAATGGGTTAAGATGGGCTAAGACCCAAGACATTGACAAACCCTTCCAGTGATGAAACACCTTGGTGGGCACCTCAACAGACAGCCCTGGGGTCCTTTAATGATCTTATTAAAGCTTGTGGAAGTGTGGAACATGGTTGCGGCTTTTGCACTTTTAGGTACTTTCTTAAACAGTTAAACCTTTAAGAGTAGAAATAAAGCTCTACCACCCAGAGAGAGATGGTGTACCTGCTCCTTCTGTTGTATCTTTCTCTTTGATCCCCCCCCCCCACACACACACACACACCTGATTATCAAGTGGTCCTGAACCCAAAAGCTGTGCCAAATGTAACAGTGAGCCATGGGGATTGGCTCAGTCTGCAATATATTTACAAGCAGCACTATCACATTTTCTAATTAGGAGGGATAACAAGAGCAATGTGCTCTCAGCAGGATTGGCATAAAAACTTCACACACCAGATTAGTTTTTCTCTATGAAAAAAACAAAACAAAAAAAACACCCAAAGTAATGTACTATTTACCAATCCCAGGAGTAGAACAAAAAGTTGAGTGTCAACAGTTGCAAGGGACGAAAGGGAAGGGTGGGAAAAGAATAAGCTCAGATTCTGTTAAGTGCCACTGTTAGGAGGGAAGGGAGATGTAATGGAGGGAGAATACAGGGAGGAAGTGGAGAGAAAGAGTGAAGATGGTTTCTGTGGGCATGTGTGGTGGAGTGGGTTATTGAGAGAGACTAGTGGAGCGAGGCAAGACACAAGGTCATAAAACATCTTCCTGGCTACTTGATGGCCTCAGTCCTGTGACATTGAAACATACACTGCAGTATGCATGCACAGGCACACAGACCCTCAGCTACACTTAAAAACCTGCCCACACATTTTTAGTGATACAAAGTTGTATATTTGCATAGTATTAGCTCCACTTAACTAATCTAAATTTATGGGGCAGATTTCTCTGCAGACAAATGAGTGTAACTTTGACAAACTAAGACAGTGAAGGATGGATAGACACTTAGAGGGAGGCAAATAGAGACTGTACTCAAACTAATGTCAGCAGGATGACCTATACTCATGGCTGCTCCTGGCAAGATCAGTTAGAGGAGACACAGACATCTAGCCAAGTCTTTCACAAAACCAATGTATCATCGAAGCCTCCATACAAACTTTTAATCCTCAGTCACGGACCAATTAGGAATCAAGCAAATATGCTTACGTTATGCAAAACATGACATATCATTTTTTTTATTTCTGCCAATTAAAATCAGTCATCTACAACATTGAAAATATGGATATACTTGCAAAGTAAAAGAATAACTGTCGCCTCGAAAACGTAACATAGCTTTTCACACAATCACCCAAGCAGAAAACCATGCATGTGTTTCAATGAAATGCCGGGCTTTCTTTATAAACACCAAAGGCATGACATTCCTATAATTATGCAGCAGTGTCAACAAAGACTGTTCATGAATTCAATTTGCTGTTTGTCATCTCCTGCATGTGGTGCTGGGGAGGAAACAAAAACAAAAAAACACGGCGGATCGATTGAGAACTCAATTTCTGATGGCTCACATGCAGCCTTCATGATTCATGGGAGAAAGAGGGACAAACAATTATTAGAATTGTAAAAAGCTTCTGTCTGGTACGTGTGGGTTTCTAATATGAAAGACAATTATGGCATCCTATATGCCACAAGTGAAATTGGTAGCAGCAGGGGCATGCTAATTGAAAACACACATAGCATCCTAAGCATACAAAATAATGGCATTTATCATAGTTACATATTTGAATCATCACAGCTTACATATCCTCTGAATTTATATAAGCATAGCACTCTCCCCCCTAACCAAATTAAAGTGTTTGACATGAGAAACATCGGACATAAGAGATGTCTATTATCCACTACTATCCACTATCCTTCCAGTAGCCAATCCCTGAGTCTAATTTGCACTGTAATGAGATCTAATGAGAGCTTACAGGCCCTGTGCTTGATGAATTGAAATCACTGCAAGAGAGGAACACAGTGAGAGTTTAACCTCACCCCAGTCGCCCTCCATGACTCCAGTATAGAAGATGAGGAATAAAAATAATGAAGAGGAGAAGAAGAGAAGAACAAGTTGTTCCTAGATTTTTTTCACTTACTGCGGATTGTTTTTGAACACATTTGAGCCCATCTGTTCCCCCATAGAGAGTCACCTGTGCAATTAACCTGGACCATTAGCCGTGAAACAAAGGCCTCAGTAGAGGGAAGGGGGATGCTGCTTTATGGCCAGGTGGAGAGGAAAAACCACACTTTCTTTCTCATCTCCCTCTCTCTACTCTCACTTGTATGCACCTGGTTCTGTTTTACCTTCACATTTGAATTCAGGCTCAGGCACCTAGACATACACAACCACCTGCATTAGTCGACAACCCCCCTCCTCTTACTATTCTGCTGTCTACTCTCTTACGGTCTGGCTTTGAGCGGAGTCACCCCCTCCCATCGCCCCTCCTTCCCTGCAGTCCCAGCAGCTCCTAAGACCCGGGCAGAAAGAGACCATTACTGCCA